CAATATTGTAAACTATCGAAAAATGTATATTAATTTTATTTCAATTAAGCTTACTTTTACTTCACTTGTAATAAAGTTTTAGTGACCAAAATGATCCTTATAATTTTTCCTGGGTCTCTGGCGCTGTGTTGAGAAACAGTTGATTAACAGTATTAAAAATATTGGAAATAAGGTGTCACCTTTGCGATGAATTTATCATCTAGGCACAGCTGTTCTTGGATTTTAGCGTTTACGAAGTCGTTCGCGTGGCTTGCCGTCGCGTAGCTGGTACTCGACAGAGACAAGCCACGCGAACGACTTCGTCAACGCTAAAATCCACGCCGCATGCAGAGAGAAACCTCTGCTCAAAGGGTATAAGCTGTTCTTAAATACAGACCGAGTTAGTTGCTGGTTTGAAGTGACTTGATTTGATTTGTGTCAGTCTGTCAGTTGTCAGCCGAGAACCAGTCCCCAACAAACAGTTGAACTATTACAATATAAGTTTAAAACTAAAAACTGCTTTATGTTAGAATAAAACCGGCAAAACTACTAGCAAGCTCAATTACAAAAACATCTACTCCACACTGCCAGCTTACATAGAACATACATGCTACATTGCTGGTACCAAAACAAAAACCAAAATTTCAGCATCACTCTGATGGAGCAAAGGGCATTTTCTTGAAACTTAACAGGGGTCTGCCTTCAAAAAGAATGTTGTGATTCAAACAATCAAGGCCTCCTTTTTAACTTTCCATTCGGCCATCCTCTTTTTTTCTTCGTTTAGCGTCGTTTGACCAGCCACAAATTTTTGGCATTTCAAAAAAATACCTCTTTGAAAAATTCTTTTAATCTGAAAAACGAGGATTGTAATAGCATTTCGTAGCATGGAGGGTTCGGCAGTGTTTACTTTTTAGCAAAAAAGTTTTACTTTTACTATGACATCGGCGACCATTACATTTTCCGCCATATTGGTTTTGTCTTTTTTTTTCCAAGGAAAAGAAAGGATGGCCTTATACCTTAACTGGGTCAAAATCATGTTATTGCAAAATTTTCACTACGGCTAGTCATGGGCTACATGAATTTGATCAAAACGTTAAAACCTAAAAGTGGCACATTTATGAGCTCCTAAAATGGTAAAAACTAATGGTACATTCAAGAGTTAACTTGTTTAAATAAGATGCGCTAGCGCAAATGTATTTTAAGGCGCCCGATAACATCACCAAGCGCCCACATGTTACTTGGTTTGTCATTTCCCTGGGAAGTAACCAGACTAGATTCATCCTGTTGGCGTTTTCGTTTGTCTACAAATCCGCTTTCAGTTTTAGCAGCAGGAAACTTTAAAAGTAGACTAGTGTTTTCGTCAAGAGAGGATAGGGTTTGCGTTGAATATTTTCAAAGAGTTTTTCTAGGGGGGATTAGAGAAGACTAATTAGAATGATATGATGATCCTTTACAAAACCAGAGTTTTAACCATCAAAACATATCAGTGTACTAAAACATCTTGGTTTCTCTCTACTTCGCTTTTTTGTGGGAGTAATAGGGCACACGTACTTCCGTAGTGCATAAAGAGTACCCCAGGGAAGCTCCCATATAAAAGACTGAGACGGGGATGCTCGTCCGTGAGTTTGTTTTCTTGTAATTATCAGTCCACTTCTTCTTGCTTATAAAGAGGCGGTCGCACCTTAAATATATGTTCCAATGACAAATCTCCTGTAATCACCTTCTGATCGGAAAGCCTAATTGTTATCTTGTACTTTTTGCGCGTTAGCTTGTGAATAATTCGTTAAGGGTTTTTTTACCATGTTTATTCAATAATTAAGGCTGTACGGTACCTGTTGTAATAGTAATCGGTTCAGCTGTTTTCCTTGTGGATGAGATCACCTTTTTCCGTTTTCAATTTCGTTTTTTAAGTGAATACTGTAATTAAACTTACACCAATACTGTAAACTATATCGAAAACTGTATATTTATTTAAATTAAGCTTACTTTTACTTCACTTGTATAAAGTTTTAATGACCAAAATGATCCTTATGATTTTTCCTGAGTCTCTGGCGCTGTGTTGAGAAACAGTTGAGTTCCAGTATTGAAAATATAGGAAATGAGGTGTCACCTTTGCGATGAACTTATCATCTAGGCACAGCTGTCTTGGATTTTAACGTTTACGAAGTCGTTCGCGTGGCTTTGCCGTCGCGTAGCTGGTACTCGACAGGTACAAGCCACGCGAACGACTTCGTAAACGCTAAAATCCATGCCGCATGCAGAGAGAAACCTCTGCTCAAAGGGTGTAAGCTGTTCTTAAATACAGACCGAGTTAGTTGCTGGTTTGAAGTGACTTGATTTGATTTGTGTCAGTCTGTCAGTTGTCAGCCGAGAGCCAGTCCCCAACAAACAGTTGAACTATTACAATATAAGTTTGAAACTAAAAACTGCTTAATGTTAGAATGAAATCGGCAAAACTACTAGCAAGCTCATTTACAAAAACATCTACTCCACACTGCCAGCTTACATAGAATGCTACATTGCTGGTACCAAAACAAAAACCAAAATTTCGGCATCACTCTAATGGAGCAAAGGGCATTTTTTTTTAACTTAACAGGGGTCTGCCTTCGACAAGAATGTTGTGATTCACTAACAGTCAAGGCCTCGTTTTTAATTTTCCATTCGGCCATCCTCTTTTTTTCTTCGTTTAGCGTCGTTTGACCAGCCCGAAATTTTTGGCATTTCAAAAAATACCTCTTTAAAAAATTCTTTTAATCTGAAAAACGAGCATTTTAATAGCATTTCGTAGCATGGAGGGTTCGGCAGTGTTTACTTTTTAGCAAAAAAGTTTTACTTTTACTATGAAATCGGCGACCATTACATTTTCCGCCATATTGGTTTGTCTTTTTGTTTCCCGGCTCTAAGGAAAAGAAAGGATGGCCTTACACCATAATTGGGTCAAAATTATGTTATTGCAAAATTTTCACCACGGCTAGTCATGGGCTACATGAATTTGATCAAAACGTTAAAACCTAAAAGTCGCACATTTATAAGCTCCTGAAATGGTAAAGAGAATGGTACATTTAAGAGTTAACTTGGGTAAATGAGATGTGGTAGCACAAATGTATTACAAGGCGCCCGATAACATCACCAAGCGCCCACATGTTACTTGGTTTGTCATTTCCCTGGGAAGTAACCAGACTAGATTCATCCTGTTGGCGTTTTCGTTTGTCTTCAAATCCGCTTTCAGTTTTAGCAGCAGGAAACTTTAAAAGTAGACTAGTGTTTTCGTCAAGAGAGGATAGGGTTTGCGTTGAATATTTTCAAAGAGTTTTTCTAGGGGGGATTAGAGAAGACTAATTAGAAAATGTTCATTACTTATCCGCAGAAAGTTACCAACTAATTGCAAAACACATCTACATAGTGGCATTTTCAGCAAAACGGTCTAACTGTTCACATTAGTGGACGAGAGCAAAATCAAGTCTTTCCTCCAATTTTGAAACGCTTATGGTAAAACTTGTTACTTTTCCNCAAATCCGCTTTCAGTTTTAGCAGCAGGAAACTTTAAAAGTAGACTAGTGTTTTCGTCAAGAGAGGATAGGGTTTGCGTTGAATATTTTCAAAGAGTTTTTCTAGGGGGGATTAGAGAAGACTAATTAGAAAATGTTCATTACTTATCCGCAGAAAGTTACCAACTAATTGCAAAACACATCTACATAGTGGCATTTTCAGCAAAACGGTCTAACTGTTCACATTAGAGGACGAGAGCAAAATCAAGTCTTTCCTCCAATTTTGAAACGCTTATGGTAAAACTTGTTACTTTTCCAGGAATACTGGTTGCGTGATTGACTAACGTTTCAGACGGTGAGTTGCATTTTTACTTTTTTCCGCATCAATGAACTGTGTAATTGACATCTTTATTTCGAAAAAAGGATGCTCATAAACTTTTTATTTATTACTTTTTAATAAATTTTCGTTCAACCTGCAGTGGAGAGTAGTGACGATACATCTTTCAGAATTGCGCACATTTATGTGACTTCTTATCATAGGTAAGTAAAATAATTGTCACCGGTCAAGGATTGCCGAAAAATTTCAATCAATTTAATCTTTGCACGTTTAGCTAAGCAATAAACAGTAAATTTTCTTCTCAATTGCTTAGTCTGTTTTAGGGGAAACTTAAAATAAGGAGTTTTGGGTGATATACCTCAACGGACCAGTGCTCAACCAATTCATAAGAAAGGTAATCATTTTTTTAGTTATTTACCTTCTGCGAAGTCCGACAGGCGCACTCGAGACCAGGAAATTAGTCTTTTTTTTCCATTCCACTGATGAATTCGAAACGCGAACGGAACCAAAATTGTCAAACATTCGGTGGCAAGTAATGAAAGAAAAATGAATTTTACTTAATTTATTCTCAACATTGGGTAGACCAAAAAAATAGCGGCAAAGGTAATGAGGTTGCAAACACACTGTCTTCTACTTAATTCTTGTTAATGCAGGTGATGGGCAATACATGCACATTAAACTAACGGGCAACAAAAAACGACCAACTGGTTTTGACGGCATGCCACTAAAAAACGAGTTGAATAGCGATGTTGCGCGTTTTACCACCCACGTTCGAACCTCTTACAACAAATAAGATTGCAAGGTTTGTTTTCGTGGGTGGTAAAACACGCAGTTCCTACCGACCAACAGCATGGCTCAAACATCAAAACCCAAACACTTTATTTAGCCTTCCGCGCGACGTTCTTTGGGTCCTTTAGGTTTCGTCAGCCGTTCCGTCTTCGCCAAAAAAAAAAAAACTCGCTTAATATGGCAAATGAAGGTGAATTTCCCTGGAGTTGCCAGCGAATTCTTGGGGATCGCACCCACATTTGGAAAGAGAACTGAAAGATTCGTTGTCGAGTGCTCACGTCCTCCAAACAATTTAAGTCGCACAAGGAGGCCATGTACCAAAAAGCGCAGTGTGACGTGAAAAAATTTGTTGTTTTTCTCATTATATTAACACCAAACCGATTATATTTTTCATAATTTTTTTGCAGATGGAAGATTTGCAAGCAACGTCATATCCATTGTCTATTAACAACCATTCAGCCGCTTTCACCAACGGCACTGCTGCAGCAATCACTGCCAGTTTAGTATACGTCACTCCAGCAGGTTTCGATACTAAACTCGTTCTTGTGGTACTGTTTGTAAGTTTTGGAATCCTCGGATTGGGGGGTAACATCCTGATCCTGTATTTTGTTTCCAAGAAAAATTCTGTTCCATTCCATCAATCATCTCCCTTCCTAAGGAACTTCAACCTTTACATGAAGAGTTTGGCGATTTCAGATATACTTGCTTGTTTGATTTCTGTTCCGGTGGTTTGCGCACAACTAATGTTTGACATATTTCAAAATGGTTGGCCTTGTAAAATAGTTCGGTATATTGCTGTTGTATTTAACTGTGTAACAATTAATAATTTAATGGCCATAAGCACCGAGAGGTTTCTTTCGACCCGTGATGTTCCTAAGACGTTCAGTAGTAGCACTGTTCGTAAATTAGTGTACGCTGCGTGGGTTACAGGGTCTCTTATCGTATTTGCTCCTGCAGCAACAATGAATGGTGTAAGACACGATATTAGTGCCACGCACTACACGGTGGTATGCGATAAAGATACCAGTTACCTACCTTACAGAGTGATTGTAGCGGGCTTTGTACTTACACAGCACGTCATACCAAGCATTGGTTTGATTTGTATTAACGTAATCTTAGCCGTAAGGGTGTGGAAGAGGGGAAAAAGAACCATCGATATACAGAAAGATAACGCCATTAGGGCGAGAGTCAGATCACAGCAACTCAAAGCAACTTACATACTCATACTTGTCACACTCGCTTTCGTTATTCCATATTCATCATTACTTTATTACGCAGCCTTTGTTGTGGTATTTAAACCTTCCCTGGATTTCCAGGACGATTTTTTGATAAGATATATCAGTGCAGTGCTGATTTTGTCGAGTAGCTCTATAAACTTCATCATATATGTGGTTCAGATGAAGGATTTCCGTGCGTTTTTAAAGAAAGTCTTATGCTGCAAGGGTGATGGAAACGCGTAGATTTAAGTGGTTCGGCCTGATTGAAGAGCGCATAGTGTTCCACAGCAGCTCACAGCTGACCTGATAAATTTAAAAAGCGCTAAACAAGAAAGTTACCCAATAGATCTCTTTAACTTGTATGGTTTGTTTTCCCACAAAAAGTCTGGAGGAAATTTGTCCCTTTGTTTTTTCATAATACGTACATATGTACGTTAATAAGGTTAAATTTGAAAGAAACAGTTCTCTGGATCGGAGTACTATCACACGACCTACATCGGGAAAACAAATCATACAAGTTAAAGAGTTCTATTTCACCAGTTTCTAATCGGAAATTTATTGGGGAACATTTACCAGCAAAACTATTTTTTTCTCTACAGCAACTGAAGTTTCTATCAATGAAAACCAAATCAGTTATTATGCTTAAAAAGATATTTGTATTATTTTACTCTTTTCTCCCCATCATTTGTGATATGAAATTTAATTCTGCAGTTCATTAAAAAATTTCTTGGTAAACTTCGTTTTGCTAGAAACGTAAAATGCTACTGTAGTATTCTATCGTAAATCTTGCATTTTAAAATAAAGCAACCAGCCAGTCAGAAAGTGGAAAACTGGATAAAAAAAGAAATAAAAGGAAAAGACGAAGGATCGAAACAGGCCCTTTGCGGGTAGCCATTCAGGTGGTACAAAACCACCATGCTGGAGAGCAAAAGTCGCACTAGGACAAGAACAACAAAGGAAATTACCCTTTAAAATTATGTATGCCTTTTATTTGTCTTGTTCCAGTGCGACTCTTTTGCACTCCAGTATGGCGGTTTTGTACCACGTGAATGGCTAGCTGCAGAAAAATCCGACGAAGACAAAAAGGAAAATATGCAGAAAACTTTCAAAAGTTTATTTTTTTGCTATTTCCATGCTGCTTGCCGGAAATTAAAACCGGTTTTTGCTTTAAAAACTTTAAACATGGGATACCTAGGTCAGAAATCTAAGTTCAGCTCATAGTCTAAACTCACAACAATGTTCAAGCGAGGCGTCATAAGTCTCAGCATTGAGAATGCCAATAATATAATCAATACTAATTGCAGAGGAAATATTGAGATAAACTAGAATCTGTATGTCCAGCGAACAATAAAAAAGCAAGACCAATTGTACAGCTATAATACAATACAACGACAGACTGATACATGTACTGGCTTAGCGGCCGACAAACTGTCTGAGACCAATTTGGCCACGTAGTTGCCGGATGCTTAGGTGTCGGCCGCGGGCCGACAGATCCTCGGCCGAGGGCCGAAGCCACGAACGGCGAAGACGCGCGGAGTACTATAAAGTCCTGGCGAAACCGAAAACCGCTCACAAAAAGTTTCTAGCACCCAGGGATTGGCACTATTATAATAGTCCCTAATTGTGTAATATAACCATATTGATATAAGATGCTATAATGACTAACAATTATTTCGTTCAATCTTACTAAATATAAGATAAATAATTGTACATCTAGCCGGATTTTTGAAAACGAACCTCGCCAAATTTGCAACCATTTGAGTGGAAAAGGGCCAAACGGCAGGTTTTTTTGCGTCCGATATAAAAAAAGGCCGAACATCAAACGAAAAAGGGAAAAGGAATGGAAAAAATAGCAAGAGCGAGGAGAAAGGAGAAGATAAAAAGCAGAGTTTTTTTAATTTGCTTACTTTAACGGAAGAGGTCTATTTGGTGGTAACCGTTTCAAAAATCCATCTATTGTAGACATGTAAACCGTTTCATATCCAATGCGCATGGGGGCCATACTTGTAATGGCTCCTGCTGTTGAGCATTAAATACGTTTAACTATATTCAAAAGAAGCAAAAATGTATGAAATTGCTCAGTCGACTTCGAGAAATCTCTTATTTTGCTCGAGTGTTAGTAAAACGAGCAAAATACACAAACAGACAAAAAGAGTCGCCTCCCACGAAAGACGCGACAGGCAGAAAATGGTCTTTATTCTTTGTCGTGTTGCAACGCAGATTGTTCGCTTTTCCAACTCTGAGAAAAAGAAGAGTTTACTCATTATTTATCGTCAGGGAACTCTCTCTCTAAGCTGGGGTCCCTGAGGACCTGCTTCACTTCTCCTTACATAAGAGTCAACCTCGTAGCGTGTCTAGCACTTCGGAACAAACTGTTGTTCAGTGAGGAAAAACTAACCACTGGGATCAGGGTGTTGATCAAAATACATATATTAAAAACCTAATGCAGGTTTCTGATTTCAACGTAACCCCGTTAGTGGGACCATTAACAAATCATTGAATTTTAAGGTCAGTGGCGGGGTAGGGACACATTTCATGCATCACTGGTCTCTTCATCACTTGATACTGTAAGGATGTTGATACACCGATAAATTTGTGAAGAAAATAGCCATTTTAGAAGTTAAGAATTGATATTTCAAAGACACTACTAAAAGGAACTCTCATTATTGTTTCTCCAAAATAATTCTTGTTTGCTTATTTTAAAAAGAATGTCTACTTTTAGGACGCACATTTTTATTTGAGTAACCGTTAAGTATTAATGAGGTAATTCTATAAAGGAACACAGACTTTGGGAACTCAAAAGTAGCAGTTGGCCGCTCATTCAAAAGATGGTCACACTAACGGGGTCAGAAAAGATATTAGAAAGTACACGTTGACAATCTCGTGTCCAGAGTCTTCTGGCTTTTTGGTCAGCAGGGCAACTTAAGGGCCTTACACAGGTGACATTGCGCATGGGTTCTAGGGATAACCGCTTTGAGAGAGATGACTGACGTGCAGTGTACAGTTGTACAGATTATATAGTCTCCCAATAGGGACATTCACTGAAAACTTGAATTATAAGGCGTTTTATTTTGTCTAGTCACCTATTTTATAACTTTTAAGATCCTGCGAAGTTAGTTTGATTAACAGTCCAGAAAAAGTCGTTTTGCCTCCTACAAATTAACGATGTTTCGTAATTTTTTTCTTTTTCTGTTCTAAAAGTGCCTTTGAAGATTTCAAGATAAAAGAATTGGACGTTACAATTCACTAAAGAAAACTCTCCGGTCTTTAAGGCAACCAGAATCAGAAAATTATAGGTGATTAGGGCCTTTAAAACGCCAAATTTCCTCCAAAAGGATTTCTTAGGTGTCATCCTTTCTAGCATTGTATCATATTTTTTTGTTAATAACTTTATGTAACCAGACTTTCAAAAAGGCAGATTTACATGGTATAACTTTACTTTTCACCCTTACTGGCTAACAGGCTCAGGTTTGGTAAAAGTTGCTACCAGCAAGGTAAAGCTAAATATTTTAAATTCAGAATCTCCGGTGTTGGAGAACTCCTTCTATCTTCAGTTTTTCGTTAAAAAATGGGCACGTTCGGTGCAATATATCTTGATCATCACTTTTAACAGACAATTCAAAGAAATGCCTCAGAAGAGGAAAATTTCCGGCTGGCATACACTGATTTTCATTTTTCCTTTCTTTTATATTTCTGGTACAAGCCCCGGCGATGAGTCAACGTCGTACCATGTAAATCGTCCCGTAAACGATAGCAAATCTCAGTAGTACGTAAACAATTGCGCAGTGAAAATAAATCAATAAATTTAGCTGTTAACTACCTACCTGACCCTGTTCAGACTAGTTTGTTTATTAAGAGGCCTCAACAAGTATGAGTGCAAGGCAGCGTGTCCTCGGAGACCAGTGACTGGGGGTTGGCCAACTGGAATTGAACATGTACGGACTAATTCACTACAGGCAAAGTTTACAACAAGAACGGGAGATCCCGTTGGAACTCACCTCTACCTAACTTTTGAATCCCCCGCTCCAGATTTGCCACAAAAATTTTCGGGCCAATCAGGAACAGAATTTTTTAACGCTCTTGGGATTGGTTTGACCCCAGGGGTTCTTCTATTATTTGTCGAAATTTTTTCTTGCAATGATTTTTAGGGAAACTACGTCTAGATTAGCTGCTGCTGGTTCTCGGAGGACGAGAAAAAGGTGGCTGTGGAGGTGGTTGACACCTACATGCACTAAAAGTGGCAAGGGAAATTATAAACTAATGCGAGGATCACAAAGTGAGAATTATATGGAAAGCAATCAGGTTCATAAGGAATTTTTGTTTATAAGAATGCCCACTTAACGTGAAGAGAAAGTGAGTTTTTTCTCTTCTGTGATCAAAACTTTTTATTAATTTTTTTGACTTGGCTTTCACCAATTTGTCACACACTACACCCTGATTGGAGGCAATCAAACACGACTTCTAAATGCAACTGCGAGCAGTTTCAGCACTTATAAACCGCTATGGCAAAACAGAAACAGGAAAACAGCTCTAAGATTAGCAACATTATCTCAACCGAAATCAGTCGTCTGCTAAGATAAAGTGGTATCCATAGTGGGAAACTAATAGTTAATGGTAAATTGTTATGAAGTGCTTGGCCCTTAATGCTTCCCATAATTTCAAAAACAGAAGTGAATCAGAAGTGACAGCTGAGCAAATTAATTGACCTCACATGGTGCCATCAGTCTATTTTTTGATCCTTTACTTGTTCCCAGTCTGTGGGAAATTTCTGAAGGGGAAAAAATAGTTTTTTGGCCAAAATTCAAGAAATGTTTTTGGCAGACACATTTTTGAAGTTTCAGATAAATTGTTAATTAAACTTGTCTAAGGACCAAAATCAGTTTTAAAAAAATTCGTGTCATATACACTGTAAATTAAAAATTCACTGCACAGGATCAACTATACCACACTGTACAGTGGAATCCTGTTTTTCAAACCAGCATTGTTCAAATTATCAGGAGGTTTGAAAAATTCAGGGTAAAATTGTAGTGTTTGACTGGTGAAGGGAAGTTATATTAGGTTTGAATATTAATATGGTTTTGAGTAAACCAAGGGTTTGAGAAATCAGGATTTTACCATACGTTGATATGGCTTTTCTTCTATGTAGACTCATTTATGAGTTCTTAGGTTTCCTACTGGGTAATCATGTTTCAGAACTTTACCATTCATAACACATTTTCTAAGTTTGGACCCTCTGATTTAAC